CTTGGGGCCTGCGCACTATCCACCGATCTTTCAGCTTCTTTGGGCGTTGCTGTTGATCGTCAGATTCTTCATCTTCGTCCGGATTCTTCGACAAGTTCGTGGTCGTATCGCTCGAGGCGACCTCCTTTGATTTCTCGCCGGCCCCGAGTCTGGGGATGGAAATTAGCGGTTTGCAAAGCCACTTACTCATCAGGAGTGCATTCCTGCGCACATTTGTCGCATGTAGCAGTGGGTCGCCTTGTGTGGGATGTCGATCATCTCGCAGTTGGACTTATTTGACGACCTCTGTTTCAAAGTCGAGGACGATTATGCTGAAAATTGTGATGTATTTTCTGAAAATGATGAACTCACGTGTAACGCTGGGACTTGTAACGAGTTGCAGGCTTGTTATGTGACTGAGCAAAGATACAGTCGTGCTTGATGGGCTGCATTTTCATACATGTCTGGCAAAAGCGCCTAAAATCGACGTAAGAGTACTGATTATTTTTCACTTACTGTCCACACACATGTGCCTTCATGCCATCTCTCGTGGCATCGTAGTAGTAGTCACACTTCAAGCAGAAGAAGCGCTTTCCACACACACGATTCCTGAAGTGGTTGTCGTAGCACGTCTGGTTCTGGAAGCAGACATTGCACGTCGTGCATCTTGTCCGGACGCCAGGCTCATTCTCACAGGTCTTCCTGTTGTTTGGCATCTCAGGCAGCGCCATTCACATCTAAATTTTGGAATTAAACCGAAAGAAACGCCTTACTTTTTGTGGTAGTTCTCGTTGTAGTAGACTCCACATCCATCGCACTGCTTTTTGTACGCAAAGACCTCGTCGATGTCGTAGGAGATTGACGAATCCACGTAACGGCCGAAGGTGCCTTAGTGACCGGCTGAAGTGCTCATTCTGTTCTTCGTACACCATCGTCAGGACACGGCCATCAACATTGTTGTAGGCAGGCGTACATCCAAGCTTTTTGCCCCTAAAAATTGTGTTATTTTTTATCATATGCTGGACACTTACGCCTTGTCGAACATGTAGATCCTCCCAAGCTTCCGTCGGTTGACCTCCTTGAGGACTTGGGCGGCTTCAGGCAGGGGATACCATCTGTCCGGCTATGTATCCGGGCCATAGGCTTCTCAAAAGGTCTTGAGCTTTCACGATTGTGTCCGGGTCTTGGTGGAAGGCCCCGTCAAACTCTCGGATAAGGCTTTCCTTGAGTTCAGTCCATTCTCGCTGCTTTCCTCTGAAAAAACACAGTCTTGGTAGCCTAATATGCCCATACCTCCCCTTGATTCCTTTTCTTCCCTCTGATTAGTGTGGCACTGAAGTCCATGATCTTGGCCAATTCCACGAGAAGGTAGACGCTCATGGGGAAGCACGCATTCTGAAGGTCTGCTGGGTAGAAAACGGCAAGTTTTCCAGTCCAATCCATGATTCCTGCTCCTCCTTTTCGCACTTCATAGCCGTCCAGCTGAAATTTGAGGGTGGTGCTGCATGAACTCAAAAAAACTTACCTGGAGCGTGAATCGTGTCATGTTCTTGATCCTGTGTGAGCTGTGTACCTTGCTCTGAAGGACATCTGCAAGCGCTACCGCTGTGATCTGGGGCCTGAGTCGTGGTGGAAGATAGGCAACCCATCGGTCTTCATTGCGCCCTTCTTCGTCAAGTGTCTGGCACTTTAGGATTGTCGAATACGTTCGTTCGTCCTGAAAAAATGCTTGTTTCTGACTATGCAAGTAGGTGCTCACGCTGGTGTTGCCGACAGTGTCAAACAGACGATCCATGGCTTCCTGGAGGACCGGCAGGAAGTTGTCAGGCGCTGTAGTCGGATCGATATCGACAGTTGCTGTCGCTTGATCCATTCTAAGTCCTCGTGCTCTCGTCTTTGAGAGTTGCAGTCGAAAATCTATGAAAAAAAACCGTCAATGGCTGTGAGACAATGCCCTACCTTTTCCGTCTAGTTTCTTTTTTATCCCGTCGAGAACGTCGGGGCAATTGCGTGTTCTAAAAAAAAAGCGTTCTATGAAAATATTATGTTTCGGTATTACCGTCAAACATTGAGTTGAGTCCCGCATTATCGTTGAGAATCTCATCTTCCTCAACGTCAACGTCATTAGCAGCACCTCCGTAGATAACATGCCTTTCCTGAAAGAAGTCATTAGAGTCTCGGGGAAGCTAACTTACCACTTCAATCTCTGAAGCTTCTTCTCTGGCACGTTTTCGGGAACTGCTGTCTGAATCTTTGAGTTTTCGCTAAAAACGGCGGTTTGAATTCGTTGGCTTCAGCTTGAACTACCTTTCGTTTCGGCTTTTCATCGTGATCAGAAGGCAGTGGTGTCGTAGGTGGTGTAGGCGGAGGTGGCGGAGGCGGAGGTGGCGGAGGCGGAGGTGGTGGAGGCGGAGGTGGCGGAGGCGGAGGTGGGAGAGGGGGTTGGGGTACACCCGGCACCTAAGAACGTACTTTTAGGGGTCATTTACATCTGCTCACCGGTATGACATTGGGTGCGCCTCCAGGATTCATTAGTGCAGCAGCTAGAAAGATATGATTAGATATTTGCGATAGAGAGAATTTACCTGCTGCTTGATTGGAAACAAAATTGTTCCAGGCCCATATCAGATGGGAAAAGTAGTCGTAGTCGTAGTCGTAATTCATAGTCGCGCTTTGTTGTATCTGAAACTTTTTTATTGAAAACCGATAAACACGTTAACTGGAAAACACAAAAGAAAACAAGTACAAACTGTCAAATTGCAAACTGTCGAGAGATGGGGAAAATTGTTGAGACACAGAGAAAAAAGAAAGAGAGAGAGAGAGCTAGAGAGAGAGAGAGAGAGAGAGAGAGAGAGAGAGCGAGAGAGAGAGAGAGAGAGTGAGTGAGAGAGAGAGAGAGCTAGAGAGAGAGAGAGAGAGAGAGAGAGAGAGCGAGAAGAGAGAGAGAGGCAGAGGAGAGAGAGAGAGAGAGAGAGAGAGAGCTAGAGAGAGAGAGGGAGAGAGAGACAGAGAGCTAGAGACAAAGAGAGGGACAGCGAGAGAGAGAGAAAGAGAGAGAGAGAGAAAGAGAGAGAGAGCCGAAATAGAGAAAGAAAAAAGTCACTCAAAAGTCAGGGGATTCATCGTCTGAATCCTGTCTTGGGTATACCGAATACCATTGCATTTGGTTTTGGTAAAGCACCGTCTCGTCCTGATCCTCTCCGTAGTCAGCGGCCATTTCGACGTCGGATTCACGGTCAGTTGCGTATCCAGAGTCGTCCGTAGGATCACAGACAGACTCCCATTCGTCGGTACTGTAAGATTCAGAATCCGAGTCGTATTGTGGGGATGGTTGTCCTTCCGGGTAGCCGAGGTCAGCGACAAGTTTCAGCCAAGCCTCGTAGTCGAAGATATCGTCGTTGTAGTAGGTCATGTTGATGTATGAAAAAACCGGTGCAAAATGCTCCATCTTATACTGCTCTAGCGGTGCGGGGGCGTGGTTTATTATTAAAAAATAGTGCGTCAAATTGAGAGAGCCCAATGAAGCTCGATTTTTTGAGCCTATATAAGCCAGAATTTTCCTCATTTTATCATTCAACCAAAGCTACACAACAAACGACGATGTCTTCAATTACTCCTTTCCTCGCTCCGACCGACGGTACCGTACGCCCGATGACCCAGAAGCAGTTTGTCTGCTCTATTGGACCCCGCGATCATCAAAATCCCATGCTGAAAATCTCCCTCTGCAAGCCCTGTCTTCGCACTACCACCAGCCTTGGCAAGGAGACGAGTTGCATCTTCAAGGTGATGATATGCGAAGCGTGCCAAGTCAACAACATTGCCCAACGATTCCCAGGAAACGGCTCAACTACACAGCCAACTGCGCACTAATGGAAATCCTCTTTTTTCTTTATATCCTGTTAACTAAATGTCTGAATAAACAAGTTTATTATTTGATCTGAGCGCCAATCAAATCACAGAAAAAAACACATTTTACATGATGGTATAGTGAGAGAGCCAGTGAATCAGACGTACAGACATACATAAGGAGGGAAGGGAGACACAGCGAGAGGGACACAGCTAGAGAGAGAGTGAGTGAGAGGGAGCGAAAGAGAGAGAAAGAGAGAGAGAGAGAAATAGCTAGAGAGAGAGAGACAAAGAGAGGGACAGACCGAAGGGAAACACACAGTCTCACAGAATGACATACACACAGGCCGACAGAAGGAGGGGAGGGAGACTCACATCTAGGCACGCCATTTTGGAAGAATCGGGAAGCTCGGCGTGTAGCTGTGCGGATCATCTAAAAAAAACTGCTTGGTTTGCATATCACCACTACATATATTTTATCTAAAATTCATCTTTCAAAACCTACTCATCCACTCAGAACGTAACAAAATTTCCAACGACCATCGAGTCTCCACCGGTGACATTAGACTTATAATCACGTCTATAAAAAATATTTAAGATGGATTCTATACAGTTATTACTTTTAGTCTCTTGGTCCATGCCGTCAATGTCCTCGTCTTCATTTGGCGGAAAAGTTCCTTCTTCCATGAAAATCCGGAACAGACTGTCATTGCTAAAAAATGAAAAAAATCTATGCGAAAAAAACGTATTTCAAACCTGTCCGGTGCCTCGAAGAGCACATCTCCGTTCAGCGTTGTATAAATTGAGGCGCCGAGGCTCCATGCATCTATCTGGCGTCCATCATACGGCAATCCATTGTACTGCTCAGGAGCCATAAAAGGTACGGTCCCGCACCATTCGTGTAGAATTGTGCCCGGGGGCGACCAGGTAGCGAAGCCGGTGTCGCAAATTTTTGCGACGCCTAGACATGCTTTAGTACACGTAGAATGAATGGCATTACCTGTTTCAGGCTCTATCAGGATATTTTCGGGCTTGATGTCCCGGTGGACCACGTCGAGACGGTGCATTTCCAGCACCCCCAATGTGGCCTGTCTATATAGATGGACAAGCTCGTCGATCCCTAGGCCTCCGACGCCGACTAAACAAAAGAATCAGGAAGGCTCTAGAAAAAATAGTAAAAAAAATGTCTTTAGTATTTTTTTTATAAAAAAATAACATAGGTTTCTTTGATCCCTCCAGCCTCGCCCCTCTCTGCTCATTTTGGTGGTATCTACATTTCCCGGTTGGATCAGTGCCAAATATATAGATGATCCCTAGCCTACTGGGTCTTCTTTATACCTTTAGTAGCTTACCTTGGAACAAGCCCAAGTCGACGCCGGGGAACAGGTCCATCGATAATATGTACCGTCCCTGATCTCTCATGTGGATGCCATCTATACACATAGAAAATAAGCATTTTAGAACGATAGACTAACCCCTGATGACGACCACGTGTTCGCACTGGCCCCTCAGGTGATCGCAAATGCGGATCTAGAAAATCCAATTTTAGAGTTATGTCCTCATAAAAAACCTCCGTCCTGACCCGCTTCACCTCCTTGGCCCGTATTTCAGGGTCGCGGGAGAGAACCATAAGCTTAATGGCCAGCGCAGGTAGTGGAGCTTCCCGCTCCCATCTATATACCGTGCCCTGTCCACCTATGACAAATCAATATCAACTATTCATAAAAAAACAAAAACTACCTCCGGCGACGCGGGTGAACTCGCCCGTGTCCCCCTCTCCTAGCACCCTTTTTTCGAAGACTTTGTGCGGGAATCGCAGAAAGTCTCCCATAAGCAGATTCGCCATAGTATTTTTTTTCGCTAGAAATAATTGAATGCGTGAAGTAAAGGGTAAAAAAAAGACATGTGAAGGCGTTTAAACTTGAACCAAAATCTGAAGAGCATCGTGATGCTAGCAATCCGAAATGAAGATCCGGGCCATCCGCGAGCTTATAAATCCCAGGTCAGGTCGAAGAACAGCCGTCTGTTCACTGATATCCTTTCATTGTATCCAGGCGTTATGCAGAACCTTGATGAATTGATGTCTATATGTGACATTTCCCCAGCTGTAAATAATCTGTCCGTTCACTCATCTTTAGGCTCAACAGCCGGATCCTTACCATCCACACACCTCCGGGTGGGGTGTCGTGAGGTGGGGGGGAGAGGGGCAACAGGGCAACTGTTGGCGGCCATCCCTTTGTTTGCTATCCCCTAAACACCCACTATGCAAATAAAAGAAAACACCTAAAAATCTTCTTGTAAAATCTTTGGCAGTCTGGGTCCGATATGAGTAGCAACAAATGTTTATTAAAGGATATCGTGGAAGTCGATTATGGCGGCTTGTAAAACTTCTATGCTCGTTCCGCTCAAGAATATCTTCAAAGCCGGGATTAGCGTGTTCCTGAAACGTCTTATTTTCATGATACTCTGTATATCGTATCGAAATATCCTGTGAAAAAAACGACATACCAGAAATGCTCTTCTTCATTTTTGCGACGGGACCTATACATGGCAAATTCTGACTTTCCTGAGTTCGATCATAGATGTCTCACACCCTTGCTCAGTATGCCTGAAATTAAAAAAATGAATATAAACGGACTGTATGGACTGCCCGCGGCACTTAACCAAATAAAAAACTTGAACATACCGTTTGGCCATTTCATTGTAAACCTTTGTAATAACAATATTTTTTTCCAATTTCATACTGAGGTCTCCTCTTGGACCAGAACCGGTATCCCGGGGGCCTGGCCCTCAATCCGACCCTTCAAAACTTTTTTTTTGGTCCCTCAGCTCAGACTCGTCTGTCATCTCTCAGACGCGTCTGTCATCTCTCAGACTCACTCGTCGGTCATCCTCTGACCTCAAACTCGTTGTGCAATCATTATGCAATCAACAGCCGTTCACTAATGGGGGCCAACGAAGGAGAATCGGTGACAGGGGATTTATCACCTGGGGCTTTGAGGAAGGGTACCTGGAACAGCTGATCTACCCTGGGACCATGGGGAAAGGGTGCCTGGAACAGCTGATCTACCCTGGGACCATGGTCCCAGTCCCAAAAAAAACAACTGTTGTGGGGGGTCTTCTGCATGTTGTCAGGGGCCCTAGGGTGGGGGTCTTTGGCATGCACCGGCTGGTTCTAGGGGTGGGGGTCTGTCGCACTATATACTACTAATAAGGTGAGATTTTTGGTGTCACTTACCTTTAAATGGGTTGGAATGTCGAATCCCTAAGCCAATTTTAGTATGCTTCTGCGGCGCGAACGCGTACGCTCGGTCGCTAAAAGGTGTGGTGAGCGATCACGCAATGGAAGCGGCGGAGCGCGCGCGTCACGTGTCTCGGCGCGGTAGAATTTACAGGAAAGCCGCGACGCAATACGGAACGCAATACCGCCGGGTCTTTCTCCTTAACCTTAATCGGGATTACGACACAAGCTTTGTGGACAGGCGTAAGGGGCAGGGCATCGCGGCCTCATTTCGATCCATATCCATTGAATACCGGTCCCTTTAAACCCAGTAAATTCACATTTTTGCAGAATTTGGTTACGGGAGGCCACGTGTCGCATTATTCTGCTGGAGAAATCTCGAATTGCACGGCCAATCGGAGGGGAGAGGAATTATCACATTTTCTATCAACTGATCGCAGTGATCGGATGCGGATATGTATAAACTGTACGCCCTCGCACCGCCCGGATCGATTTTCATGTGATTTTTCTTGTCTCATTTTTTATGTCGTAATCGACCGAAAACCACCTTAATATAAGCGCGTCGTAACCGCTTAGTACCCGCGTCGCGGTTGCGTCGACTTTTTCGCACGGCCTGGCAATGAAAGGGGAATTAATGCCGATCGATTGGCGCCCAAGGTATCGTTATTTTTTGCCTTCAACGGCCCTTTAAACCCGTTTTTAGGCCCATACCCGCCAGGACCCAATCGTGGATGACGCGGCAGATTTCAAACGTCTCCCTCTCCTGTCTTGAGAAATGCGGCTCCAAACGAGGGACTGAGAAAACAAGTGTTGAGCAATACAGTAGCCGGAGTCTTGCACCTCGGAAATGTCGATTTTGTGGCGATGGAGGAGGAGGGAAGGCAGGCATTATCTTAAATGACTGACAGCTAAACCAAATCAAGCGAAAAAGGCATGCTAGCAGGGGTCATTTGTGGAAAATCCAGCACCTTTGTGTCACCGTCCCTTTAATCCTCAAGAATCGCTGCTAATGCCCTGTCTCTGGTTCCCAAATTTTCCCGCTAGCTTGCCCCCAGGTGTCCCTAGAGACCGTTTGTTTCTCTAAATAATTTTCGGTTGGATTCCGACAATTTTAAAGGGGGCGTTGGAAGGCAAGTATCACAGCGTTCAGAGCCATACAGAAAAGGTTCGTCGAGCGGGGACAGGATGGGGAGGGGGGTCTCGGCACTCGCCCTCCCTCTGGCTGTCTGCCCCCACCCCGCGCGTTTGAATCATAAATGGTGTGTACGAAAGATTAGCCCGGCTGTCTGCTATCGCGCGCTCCACCCCTCCCCTGCCTGTCTGCTCCTCGCGTCTGCGCTCTAGAGCGTTCTGCATCCTGTACCCAGGGGGCCCTTTTCAAACCATGTGGGTATATGGAAAAATTTATACGGCGTAATCGATGATGAATCCTGCAAACTAGCAGAGATAGTTTGCGGAATCGATCAACTGTCTGGTAGTTGGTTGATCTCAAAAGTGGCAGGCTAGCAAAGGCTATTTTGAGAAAAGTTACGCCGGAAAACACTTGGAAAACCGGTAAATCCGGCCGCAAAATCTAATAAAGGGCAAGCTACGGAGATCATTTCAGGAATGGATCGGCTACTGGTATTAAGACAAATTTTAAAGTGGTAGGCTATCAGAGGGCATTTGAGAAAAAGTTACAATGAAAACTCTTGAAAAACCGATAATTCCGGCCGTAAAATCTAGGATAGGGCAACCAGCCGAGATTCTTGCGGAATCTATAGACTGACTGGCAGTTAGACAAATTTTCAAAGGGGCAAGCAGCAGAGGGCATTTGGGAATTGCTTAGTCGCTATTTCCAGATGGCAGCCGTGTCTCTCCCGGCGAATCCGAGAAATCAGCGATCTGGAGTAGCTGAATGTTTGGTATCGATGTACAACAGCTTCGCCTAGCCCTTACCACTCGTGCAATGCAGCCATCCAGGGAGGAATGAAAGGAACGCTCATACTGTAAGTCGGAAATTTTGAAAATTGAAAACTAACATATTGAAAAACATCTAAATTTTGCATTTTTGTTGATTTTTAAATATATTTCATGTATTTTGGACATTGTTTTTGTGTATTCTGTCTTTTTAGCCCACACGATAAAGTGCACAATATTTTTTTTTCACAATATTTTTATTTTTACCAATGTCTCGTTTTTTCACGGAATTCTTGTGGATTCATGCCTTCCGAGCTCCTTTAAAGTGCCCGAACGCCTATCTGTCAGCCAAATCACCTTAGATTGCCCCAATTTTTTGCGATGGTTGATGTGGGTGGAGGGGGAGGGGTGGGCCCAGAATGGGACCACAAAACAGCTAGGGCAAACACTTCGAGAGGGGCCGAAACCGTTCAACGGACTGTCCAATCTCTCTCCCACTCTCTCTCTCTCCTCTCACTCTCTCTCTCTCTGTCTCTCTCGGTCCCTTTCGCTCTTCGCTGCTCTCCCTCTCTCTCTCTCTCCTGCTCCCTGTCGCACTCTCGCTCTGTCCCTCTTCTGCTCGCTCTCTCTCTTTCTCTCTCCTCCTCTCTCGCTCTCTTCTCTCTATCCTCTCCACCCTCTCGCCAGTTGTTTATTTGAAGTTTAGAGGGTTTTTTCGAGGTCCAGCCCCGGTCCCTATAGAAGTGCTGCTGACCAA